AATGAGAATACCTTCTGGGAAGCAATGTCATGTGAAATTTAATTATATCATTGTGGGAAAAATTCAACTACCAGTCCTTCATCACCCTAAACGAAATTGGATGAAGAAATCTTATATGTCTGTCAGTTTTGCTTGATCTTGAGTTTAATGCTAAACAATCTCAAAAATGCAGTGATAGATTTGTACATCCTTTACATGGACATGCAAATATGTGTTTCTTTTCTATCACCATTTTTTGAGCAGATTCCACCTATTCTAAGCAGCAGCGCCGTTCTGCATCGGATATCGGCTTTGGGAACAAGTCGCCCCTTCTCTCTTCCGGCAGAAAACGTGCCAGTCGACTGGGCCTCAAGAAAATCAAGAAATCACAAGTGCTCAACGGAACTCGACTCTGGAACGGGCTCGGTAAGTCTTTTTCGTGCCCATTCTGTACATTTCCTCTTATTCTGTGACAAGGCTTTCGAGCAGTTGTATTGGTCGCATCGACCGGCATTCATCCGGTTCCCTAGTCGACCAGTCTTCCCCGAAGTGTGCTACTTTTTCTAGATGTCCTCATCTGAACGCGACCCTATTCGGCATTCGGTTGAGTACGCTTGTTTGCTAAAGTTGTAAAATCAGTAAAAAAACACAATTGCCCGGTCCAGAGAAAAGATGACTGTCATGCGAAGGAAGGGTTTTCTCGGCTCCCCAAACTGTCATCTGCCCATTCTCTCCATCCTCACAGGGTGCATCCCGACTCGGTGACAGGCAAGCTTATCTCATAAATATGGGCAAAAACATGTGGTTCGTCGGTCCGACTGGTATTGAATGTGTACGCACTGTCTTTTAATTAATTGCTGTCTTGCTTAGATGATTCAGGACATGAGAACGCCTGGACAGTAACGATATTGTAGGCTTTTTCCCTCAATTTATTCTCGGCTTTCTTCATTTACTATCGTCTCTCTGCGATGTCTGCGTCCAGAGAAAAGCAGTTTCGTCGCAGAATCCTCCAGGAAAAAGCTCGTCATACCAGAAAACATTTCGGAGCTTGGTTCACTTCTCACACAGATGGCTGCCATCTGCAGTCTCTAAGTGAGGCTGTTGACATCGGACCAGGAGTGTGAAATGACTGAGGTGTGCAAGAGACGTGAATGGGGGAGAGAGAGAGAGGGGGGGG